CAAGAAGATGGCTGCAGCTATCGGTTCGAATGTGAAAGTTGACATAGCATTTGTGGATTTTACTGAGATCTTCGATAAGGTTTCTCACTTAGGACTTATAGCTGAGCCGGACAGTTCTAGAATCGATAGAAGACTGAGAAACCAAATAAAGAACTGTCTTATAGACAAAAATGAAAAAAAATTAAAATTAACCCGATGCTGTTCTTTAGGATACTAGTAAAGGGGGATACTGTTCGGGATACAACTGTAGGTTGTCTCTTGTTTCTAGTTTGTGTTAAGATTTTCCCATAAAAGTAGGGTCAGCTAATGCTTACAGATAATGTTAAATATTACACAGCTGTTCAAAATGATGAGGACGAGTTACTCATAGAGAAAAATCTGAATACACTCACTCGTGCATAGGTCCAGCCTAAGTTTGCTAGAAATCGACAGCAGTAAAAATGTAGTCGTGCCCGTAGATCCTGACTATCTAAGTAACTACAAGGATATTGATAAGTCAATGTTCAGAGATGTTGAGCATAAGTACTTGGACGTCGAAGTAAGGCAAATTATTAAAGCTGCAACAAACTGTAAGGTATCGGCCTTCTATAGCTTAAGATTCTCTCAGTTTATTCGTAAGAATTTCCGGAGTTTCGACGAAGATGTATTTTCAATATTGCGCTGTCATAAAACTGTTTAATATGATATCAGCTTGCCTAGAAAATGGAAAGAGTTTTGTGAACAAACTGTAATCATAGTAAAGAAATCTGTAATGAAGGGGATATACCTGAATACATTCGACAGAAAGGGACTAAAATCGTCAATGGTTTTCCGACCCTCATTTACGAGAGTGACTAATTTATTTTGATCCATTTCCAATGGCTCACTGTAGTTTGATAGCCAACCTTATATGAGCGTTAAGGAATGATTTAAGTACTAAATTACATTAGTTATTTCTCCATTCTGGAACTGATTAGCCGAGAGGGTATCACTGTAATGTCCAAAACTCCCAGTCGAATTGTCTACGTTTGCAAATGCTAGTTTTATATTAGACTGTTTAGAATTATTATAAATAGGGAACTTATCACTTGAATACTTTATAAAGAATACTGTTTCTTCAAAAATGCTAAGCTTGTATTTTTTTGTCAACTAAATCTTAACTTGTAGTCATTCAGACATTGAAATTCATCTGACAATCATGATCACATGGTTAATAACAGATTGAAACCATATACGTAAGTCTCTGGGCTTCATATATGGTATGTAATACTTACTTGGAGAGCTAGATGTTAAGTAAAGCTTCTTTACCTCTTCAGAAGTGTAAGTCGTCGTTGACTGTTATTACTGTTCAAATATTAGCTGATAGACTACACTGAAATAAGTCCTATCTCTTTCTTGCTTCATCGAACGACAAGCGCCTTGACATCCTTCCATTTTTTGGCCACGTCTGTTCGCTTTTGTTCACGTTAGAATTATATACTGAACTTCAGAGAAATTTGTCTTGGTTTCAGTCTCCCTAACTCGCTGTTATCATGTACCACATTTTACTGGATCCCACCCCCCCAAAAAGGCCGACTTGGATATACGAAGAGAGAATGCTTGCATTTAATGGATAACTTGAAATTGCAATGAAAATTTATTCCACCTAAGAAACCAACAGACGAAACTTAATTACAGGCATATAGTCGGTCTATCCTAATATTCCGTTTTTTGTCATGTCATATCCTTTGCTTAACTACCTTGGATTCTTTTCTAGGTATGTAAGGCGTACATAAGACACTTTCTACTACTTATTGATTGGACACAGCCAGTAATTAAATAGCTTTACCAATTTATTTCTGATTGGTAGACAATTTGAAGCGAATTCATATTTTCAGTAAATTCTGGAATCTGGCCACATCTATGTGTATCTATAAAACTAACTGCTTTTTTGGAGATAGTTACATAGGCGGGACGACTAGGCAAGCCCATTATCGCTTTACTGATCACTCTCCAGCGTGGTTAGGCAAAGGAACAGTGAAATCCATCAAAAGCTCAATATTTGCACATCTAGTAGACACTAGGCGTAAGATTGACAAAACCTTGGAATTTGCTTTTATTTACAAATTCCCATTATAATACTCCAAGCTTGTACGCCTCAGATTGCTAAGCATAGCAGAAGCCATAGCAATTAAAATTTTCAGACCCAGTTTACGTATTCAGAAGATGATTGTTCATTTCTTTTTCGCTCCCGTGACCTTTAACGTCAACCTAGATACGATTACAATAAATTCCTTCCCGGTCACATGGATTAATATAAATGTGCATATTATCTCTGTTTGTACTCTTATCATTATCATTTTACTTTTTGTCCTTAGCCTCATAATTGATTAAGAATTTTAACATTTTATTATCTAATCGCTATGCAACAATAGTTTTATTCATGATTAACCTAGTTAGTGGGTTACGTAATAACAGTAGAAACTAACTTGCCATTTTGTGATGTAAAATTTGTTGTTCTTCAACTTAATTTCAAGAAACGAGGTTTTCTTATTCCCCTACTAGGCAATCATTACAGATGGACGTGGGTGCGCACTGCTGAGGAGTCCCATACTAGGACGAAACAGCTGTCCAGTGCTCCCAGGTTTCCTTTGTTCCTCCAACTGATGTCAGTCTTCGATGAATAACAACTTGAGACAGATGGATACAATTTTTCAAAAAAAGCATAAAGCATGAATTAAATGGATAACTTGGAATGGGTATTGTTAGCAGAAATGAAACATGGTAGTTAAATCAAATAATAAATCTCTTGAAAAATTATGGCAACTTTTTTTCCGATAGGTTTTAGTGTTGTGAAGGTGGAGGTCAGTAATTTACACTGTCATAAGAGTAGAATTTGGGTTCATTAGCAGAGTGTAACTCCCAGTTAGTCTGTGATACACTGAGGCGACCTAGCTGTATTGCATTGTAAAAAAAAACTAGGAACAAGATGAATGCGTAGATTCTGATTTTTATAGAATACTTTCATATTCAAATTGATAATAAAAATTTAAACTGTTCCACTTTTGTTAGTTTGATAGAATGCGTCCTTAACACAGTCAGCAAGTTAATCAGCTGGGCAGACGATTTTTAATAACAAATGGGTTAGAGAGGAAAATAGTTATTTAGTAATTATTCCTGTAGTACTATCCAAAAACCTACGGGAAATTCTATTAAGTATCCGGTCAGTAATGTTGACGTAGGTGCCGGAAGTTTAAAAAATAATGGCAATACTAAAGGAGTGCTAGGTCTTGGATATTTTGCTTACTGACTCCAAATGTTTAATACTATACAAAATGAAATGAAGTATCGTATTAATTTATTTAGAGATTCGATCGATTCGATTCGTCCATGGACCTTTAGCGGTATTATTTATGATAGAATAGCTGCATTATTTGTTGCCCGAAATAACCAAATGGTTCACTTTTGCAAGCTTCTACATTGTCATGGTAGAAAAATAGGACATTTGAAGCTTGATGGAGAGCAGTTTTCAAGCCTGCACTAAGATCAAACGTTTCTGGATGAACTAAGACTTCTGAATGGACTAAATCTGTCTGACAAATTCCCTATGGTGATAGTACAGTAATTAATGTAAGTTAATGTATTTATAGTAGTGGACGACCAAGTTATTAGTCCAAAGAAACTAAGACAAAGCTGACAAACTCATAATAGAATAAGGAGTGTGGAGAAAGGCTAAGCGATAGCCATGCAGCAATAATGCTATCTTAAATAACTTATCATCATGGAAATAGGGTAAACTGATAACTAAATTTCAGCCTAATGAGTCATGACCACATAAACACAACAGGAATGGTTTACCACACAGCTGAGATATCTCGAAGACTGTACTACCACTGCAGTAAGAAAGACGATGAATTAAACATTTCAAAATTAAGGCAGAAGTTTGTAGAATCGCCATAGTGTGACTTGGAGTAAGTGATACTGCCTCATGCAAATTTACTTGGCTGTGGCTAGCAGAAGAATTCAGGAAACGAGTTTTGTCCTATTTTGGACTCGTCAGCTGGATGTACCTGGATCGCAGTGCCGAGTGATGTTATTCCAACTGAGAATCGAATCTCGAACCCATAGCTTCAAACTACGAGGCGTTATCTACTATGCTATGGAAGCACGGTAGCCACCTCTTGTACGACAGGTATTAGTTATTACAAGCATATCCATAAATAGCGATACTGCCTTACTCCATCATGCATCCAACAAAAATGTAACTTAAAATAAGAAACTTAAGTGTTGAAGTTTAACACTTAAAGCTCATTATGAAGATGGCCAGGAAAGATACACATGCTAAAGTGTTTCGATGCTTTTATTTTCCTATATTTTCATTTTTATATTGAGTTCTGAACATCAGTCTAGGAATAATATTCAACGGAGCTTTACAATGAAGTGGGATAAACTTGTTATCCACGTATATTTATTTGTCAACTTGTGTTTAACAAAGTAGGCAACAGAAGAGTGATTCATTGTTTCCCATTCTATTGAATGATATATTCATGGAATAAATACCTTGAATACCTTTCTGTTCAAAGTAATCCAAACCGAAAATATGCTGGTTACTTTTCCTTGTGAAGAACCACTTGAAGACAATATTAGATGTGATTTTTTTAACTGTGACCATAGAAACTTAAATATGTGGAGCTATAAAACCTCTATACTATATGCAAATATTTACTAGAAACAGTTTACGATAACTTTATTCTCCAACATATATTTTACAGAATTAAAATGTTTGTACACGTAGATGCAGTGAAAATGTCTAGTAAAAGATTTAAATGCTGTGTGACACACCCCCCTTTTGTATGAAATTGACCTATAGTCGACATGATAGTAGGTATAAAAAATACAAACACTGTGTATAACCTTTAACTTGATTTGACCACAAATTCTAACTACAGTATGCCTTCCTATCCGTATTTATCGACTGATTTACACATATATCGATTCATTTATATGGGCATTATTTAACTTAAACAGATTAGTTCCCGTTCATATGTCTGACTTTTTTACCGTAATGAACTTCATTTGAAGCATATAAATTCATGAAGACTGTTACTGTTATCCAACATCGTATTGTACCCCAGAATTCTCATACTGATATTTTGATAACTCATTTTCAAAAAATCAGAATCTAACCATGTCTGTATTTTTCATGGTTTCACGGTTGTTTCTTCAGAGTATCCTGACATCAATCCTTACATAAACAAAAATAAACCATAAGTTTGCTTAATTATATCTATCTTTAAAATATCTGGATTTAAAAAGATGTTTCATGATGGAAAATGTTTCAATGGTTTTGAGATTAACTTCAGAGATCAACATTTCATTGTAATAGTTCAAAATTCAATGTTCTTTCCAAATGAAAAACAAACAAATCAAAGTTATTTTTGATTGGTAGTTTGTCAGCTTCACCAATAAACGGTTTTTTGAGAACTAGACAGTTTTTATTTTTCAGAGTAATATTACGTCACTATATGAAAATTATCAAAACAAGAGTATGAACCATATAAGGAGGATATTTTTATTTCAATGTTTACGTCTTGTCAGTTAATTTGTTCATTTCTCTATTGTAGTTCATTCACAAAAATCGATCACGTCGTTGTTATTCCTTATTGGTTGTTGAATGCATATATATGTAAGTATTAACCTTATTACTTAAAACGGTATGACCTAAATAATAAAGAAATTATATTTTCTATGAAAGGATATTCACGTGCACTGCATGTTGAATTGAATGTTCAATGCATGATATCAAACTTTGAGAATGATTTCGTATTAAATAATCAGTTTGAAATATTCAAAACAACAATCACATTTCCCACATTTTAAAACATTTTAAACTAACATAATGGTCAATACTTGTGATGGTCTTAAAGGTGATAAAGGTTCCGATACTTCCGATGAAAGATTGACAAATGAGAGAATAAACGTTGAAAGTACACGGGAAAGTGCCAACTATGAGGTAGATAGACACCACGGATGGTATACTGGTAAGTTAAAAAAACCTTTTCTTTGGATAGCAAAATTAAATATTTAATAATTAGGTAGGATGTTAGGTGATGTGAAGCAAGTGACAGGAAAATTCGCTCGACCTCGGTTTCATGCTCGTTATTACACCTCAGTACAGTGCATTTCCAATCCAAACGGAACTAACACTTCATAACGAGTCTAAACTTATATCATCCAGTTCTGGAATTAAAGGTCGCGACTGACCTCATGTGGGACTAGTTTACATACACTTTGTTTTTGGTCAAAAGCTTTGACTAAGTTCTGTCAACTGAGGTTTGTAAAATGGTCACCAGACTGAGAGACTGACCGTTACTGTGGCCTCCTGATTGATCACAAATGGCTGTGAACAATTAGCAGGAAGCCCTAAATATATAATCCAATCAGTAATTATTGGAAATTGGTTACCTCTGAATGATTGGCTGATTTCAATTGGTCTTTATTCAAGTATCTTGTACATTTAATTCCCCATATAGTAATTTTGATTACTAGAGATCAGTTGACCAATAACCGGGAAGCACAGGATGGCTAATTCTATCTTCTTCATGGTCATTCCTCAATGAATACCTTCTTTAGGTGATTTTTGGACCCTGTAGGCTGTCATTAAAAAGTTGTTTCTTTAATAGGAGTCTCAAAAACGAAGAAATACTCGGATGAGAACGAGGAACAGTGAACATGTAGATGAAATAAAAGGTGTCTAAATTTATTTATTGTTCTATATCTGCTTCATATAGTCTTCGTTGGAAATGTGTTAGACATGAAGTTTCAGTTAGTGATTAGTTGCTCTGTATTCTTATTTTGTTGGAGAAATCCATGTGTATAAAAACTGTTAACCGGGAAACTAAGTGCTGGTTTTTACAATGAACTACACCTATCATTATATTGACAAATGATACTACCTAGGTGTAGGACTTGAAATCGCAAACTATCAATTTTAAAGTTCAGTAACTTGATCAGCAAACTATAGCTCGTTAGGTCTTGTTTTCATAACGGTTCAATGAAAAAGATGGTACAGTGAATTGTCACAAACATACTTTTCACGTTTCCGTTAAGTAACAGAAAATGAGGCAAGTTGACTGGTGCGTACGGAGGAAATTAAAAAAATTACTGCAAAGGTAATTTCTTTTTCAGTGAGTCAGCTTCAGACGTTGAACAAATAAATTTGAAGCTACAACAAGCTATTCAGACTATCATTTTACAATAGGCAAGCATTGCGTCGCAAAAAACTGCTTCAAGAATTAGAAAGTTAATAGAATGAAGGCTTCAGTACACTATTCTCACAAGCTGACCAATGACCTTCAAATACATCTAATGTATGTGCTAAATGGTTAAGAATGTTCACATGATTTGTAACAACACAATTCTTTGTATATTTTATGAAGAAAATAATGTCATGGTGACAGTCATTTAAGAACCAAAAACATCTTGGACAGTGTGAAGCAGTAAATATCATAAACTAAGCTACAGTTGAAATTAAAAGGTGAAGACTGAGTACTAAAAAGCCTAAACAATCATCAAGATACTGAACTGAAAGTGTACTCAATAACAATTTAAGTGGAACTTTATGGTTCTGCCGCATTTGAGTGACTTGAACTTGAACGAGTCAATAAGAAAAATGTGGTTTCTTTCCATTGTTTAATACAGAAATAGAATGAAAGTAAACATTGTTCTTACATATAATTTGAAACTTATCTAGGTTTTTGACCACTTTTTACTGCTCAAAGTAAAATTGTGTCCGATAAGCATATTCATACTAGTAATTAAGTTGCAATCAATCTACGGAAATGTGATATGGACGTAAATAAGAGTTCAAGTAATCAGTTACCGCCTCTAAATTATTTATGTGAACCCACGTGAAGGATTTAAGAATTAGAAATTGAGAATTAAAAATAAGACATCAGATTCATGAAACTGCATATTAGGTACAAACCTGTGGATTTCACAATATAAACCAGCGCTTAATAAAGGACCCACTCACCATTTTTTGCTGCTTTATGAACTAATGGATACTGCAAACTCACTTGGATCAATCAGTTAGAGTAGCAGAGTAACAGTCGAAACCTACAGTTACCAATAAATAACAATAAATGGCACCTGTTATACAAGAGATGAATGTCGTGTCTCATTGGCCTAGTGGATAACTCTTTGGCGTGTGAAGCGCTTGAGGCTGGGTTAGAGTCTCACTGAGGACTACACTTACTGGGGTGCAGGTAAACAAGTTGATGAGTCCTAAGTGGAATTCCACTGCTAGATACCACCCAGCAAACTGCAAGTTAAAATAAGTGTCTTTATTAAGCTTTATGATAGGCAACCTAATACCAAACCACACTCCAGTGTGAAATTCTTGTTATACCCGTTTTGGAAAGTGCGGTTATATGAGAAATCTCATAGAGTTAATTAACAGTGTTAGAAGTAATTCCCTTCAATTCAGTTAGAATTAACATCACCAAAGGTCTTCACAGGGTTGTCCATGATCAACGAAATCCTGCCAACAATTCAAAGATTCCTAGAACAACCCGCTGTTATCTTCACTAAGACTAGCTACTTCAGGGTTATTTGATAGTCATTGTGGAGGGCGAACTTGTATTGTTCCACCAAGAGTTAACAGAAACAGGTACAAAAAGACAAAAGAAGTTGTTTCCATTTAGGAATTTAAAGTGTTAGATTGTGAATAAAATAGTGCCCGTAAAAGTCGTTTTTAAACTAAGTTCTGGCTTCTACTTCTCTATTGTTAAATTTTCAGCAGTGCAGAACAGATGTCTGCTTACAGATTTGGAAACCTTTAAAACTAAGACCAAGTGAATTCTGCGAAACTTTACAACGAATATTAAACAAGGTTTGCTCGATAGAGTTTTTGATTGATCTGGACTTATCCATATTGAAAGGTGTTCACGTCGAAGTTGAATAAATTTCCCTTTTACGGCTATTTGCGGTTATTAATTACATTTGAATAGGACCATTCAACTTTTATGAATGGTATGACGCTAAAAACAAATTTGTTCGCTGATAACTTTCTTCTGTTTCTCAACAGGGATGCTCAAAGCTCCAGAAGGATATTACATAATAATATAAGAAGGTATAGAAAGATACATATACAAGGAGCGAAGATTCAGTGTTTTCAAATAAACTCTGAGCTAGGAAGTTGGAAGTTATGTAACATTAAAAGAGAGAGATAAGTCTATAACTAGTGTGAGAATCACTGCAGGCAACAAAACTAATAAGCTGATGAAAATAACCAAAAGAAAAGCTTTGATTCTCTTAAAATACTAACTAAAATGTACTCCATTTGCCTCCAGTTCTGAAGTATAAACTGACTAATGGTTCTCCTTTTTTCCAGTTTTAAATGGTAAATCTGCACTTTTTAAACTTTAGACGTGACTTCATAATTTATTTTTAAGGAATAGTACTCTGTTGCATTAGTATGACCAAAGTTAACTAGATTCTCAAAAACACAGATATTGACTGGTCTAATTTCCTTTCGGTGCAGAATATTATATGAAAATGAATTTTCAAAGAGCACTCTTTATGCTGTTCATGTCAACAAGCTCACACAATCAGGTAAAATGATGTTGGCACGTATAAATTTGACATCTTCGCACGACTCCTGGTGTCCCTGTAAATTATATGAATAATCTACAGAAAACTAGATTGAAGTGTGTAGTAATTATTGACCTAGTCTATTTACTTCGCAAAAATCCATACAGACTACTTAATGCAAAGCCAACTCGAAAATTTTAATGCAAGAATTATTTATAATAGTCACGCCTGTAGATTTATGGAGAGGAACTTGAAGACATCACTCAAAAGTGTGATAACGTAATAAGCTTATTTATCTCGTGAACGTGGGTCAGATGAGAAAGGCAGCTGACAGAAACTTTTGACTAGTAGTATTTCAAAGCTGAATCATTATTAAAGTTATTTTAATCAGACATGTGTAAACAAAACTGACGATTTATTTTCAGAATGTGAATTCAAATTAGAGTTGAACAATACCAATTGATGAGTAATTTTAGACCAAAACATAGGATATTAGACTGAAAGTAAGGATAACTTACTAATTTTTGGGCAACCTCAATGAGTTCACTTTGAAACCTGAGAATAGAATCATCATTCACCTGCCACCGACTTCATTGATGTAATTGTTTCATCAGTTACGGTGTGGGAGTGTACGGATAGTTAGATTAGAATCTAAAGTAACAAGTTCAATTTAGTAGTGCTTGTGGAACAAAGCGACGAATTCTTTTATCCGGTGACCTTGATGATCAACCGCTTTAAGAAGCAATAGTTATGGTTTTTTATACACAAAAGTAAATCAACTCAAGTAATCCCACTTCAAAGTACCACACAGTGAGGAAGTGGATAGAAAGGAATAGTAATAAGGTAGAAAATGTGTATGATACGAGAAAGTACGAATAAGCAAAAGTTAGCAAGGTTCTCAAAATTTAAAACGTGATAAAGTGTGTATGAACCTAAAATGATGTTACTGATTTTGAGCAACATCACCCGAAGTTAGTAGTTATTGGTTTCTGTCTCTTCGAGTATCCCGTTCAACAAATTTTTATTTTCAACAATTTTAAAGGGTTACTGGAGCAGGGAAATTTTTTGACGTGATTAATTTTAGCATACCTCGAAAAAGTGGTTAACAGTTTCTGGCATGTCACACAAAGTTAGACAAGAATAATGAGGTTGGATCTCTGGTGGAAACACGGTTGTTGTCACCTAACTTGTAATCTTTCTGTAGGTCAAAGACGGTAGTAGAATTACGAGTAGAAACTCCTTAGTGGCATAATACAGTTGTTACGTAATCCCTTCACAGTAGGAAGGGTCTATAGAATCTTTCTATGGAAGAGAGTGAATTCTGCCTTCAGACCGAGAAATACAGCCACTGTTGGGCTTCAGTCAGTATGTCTGTGTTTAACAACCTTCAAGAGGATGGTAGTTTGACCAAAATATTCTAGCCTGGTTTTTGAACCCCTTTGGTTTC